TTGATATTCTTCTAATGAATGAAGATAATTACTCTGAAGAAATGCACCACATAGCAGAAATTTGGAAACAGTTGCGTTCCAGAAGGCCAAATGTTCCAGAAAAATTCTTAACCAACATTTTCAGTTCACCATACCGAAGCAGCATATTCACAACTATCCAACAGGATGCTACCGAGTTCCTCACTACCATCGTGGCTGAAATGGTAGAGCTGTCCAATCATGCAGACCAGTGTAAGATTCATGTTAGTATGTTTAATCAGTATCCATAATATTATAACATAGGGTGGCGACTCGACATATGATAAAATACAAAAAAACTAAACATGTAAAACCAGCTTACAAAGTAAAAATATTATGTCGAAAGCAGTGCATTTAAACAAAGCTTACAGGCGAAGGCTCTTCATCAGGTTTAAAATCTTGGTGTGTATGGCGCTGGCACACTAACTTTTGGCCTTACGATAGGCTGTGATAGATAGTTTTTGAAAATAATTTTACCTAGTAATGGGAATTCAACTGAAACGTTGTTGATCTGATTGCTAATCGTCCTCATTATATTTCAGATTATCTACACAAAAACGTGTCAATTATGTGGTCATTCAACAGCACATACACAGGAAGAATTCTGTCAATTTTTAACCCTCCTCTGTGAAACACAAATGGAAACGATTTTCACTCAAGATTTGTTAGATGAGCAATAAAACAATACTTCAGAGTGTCCACATTGTGGCGGAGGAATAGCGGAAATAATCACGTATGATAAGGTACCTGAAACATTTATCTTAGTCTTGAAAAGATATTTGACTGATGAGAACGGGAGACCAAGAAAAAATTCTATAAAGGTTATACCAGATGAGAATATACTAATCGGCAACGTTGTGTTACAGCTAAAATCAATGAGGTACCGGCAGAATTAAACCGGAAGCTAGGTGGCGCGCAAAGAAAGTAGGACACGGAAGTGTCAGTCTCGTCTGCTCTACGCTTCACTGACAATCATTTTCATTCTCACCGCCCGTTTTGGTTTTCTGTGTGAATTAAATAATGCCAGCTCATTGTTGCGTACCGATGTGTAATGGGAAAGGTGGGCATAAATTTCCGCTGGACCCTGTTGAGAGACGGCGATGGATTCAGGCCGTAAAAAGAGGAGAAAGTCGCTACGGAGATGTCCTACTTTCTTACAGCGCCACCAGGCGGATTAGTTCTGCCGGTACCTCATTGTTTGCCACCAAGGCGGACATTACATATCACATGTCTTGAAATATTTCGGAAATAATCATTACATTATAACATTGGATGATAACGTGGTGCAAAAAGAAAGGTTATCAACATGCTGGCCATTATTCATTCAGTCCAACAGTTACATATTAATGTACAACACAGCTGAGCATATTTATGCAATTGAACCGGACAAATAATTTAAGGGGATTAATTTCATGTGGTCTCCATCCAAACCCTCTGTTACGCTATTTTACCAAGATTTTGCCTAATAGTTTGGATGCAGCTATGGCGGGTGTGGCGCCAGGCAGGGTAAGCTTACTCTTCCGGACACCTGTTACCACTGTTTGTCGTGTATTTTGTACACGGTGAACAGTCCATATACTGGTTACACTATTTTGCCTTATTACACTATTTTGCCTATACCGTTTTTTTTAGGACTTCGAATTTTGGCTAATGGTTTGGATTGTTCGTACTTGGTTTTATTTTATTTTATTACGATCAGCTATGTGTTAATGTATTGAACAGGATGGCGTTTAGCTATGTGTTTGTGGCTAAACTAGTGGATGATATCGATCTCAAAGCATCCATCAACATTTTACTGGTCAATTTTGTTTCCTAATAGCACACTGCATGGCGTATGCCCGTCTTCGTTAGTTCAGATGACGCAGAGGGTGGGCGTTAAACCCAATTTCATTCGTTTATCTACAGATTTGGACAACGAATTTGACAGTTCCAGTTTGTATCTAAACCCACAGGAAAGTGTTTTAAATACACTCTTGTATTGGGTGACTCAACAGAAGCGGCCGTTTGATAAAACAGACTTGACCTAAAAGAGGGGATAGTGTTACCTATTAAATCGGAATAAGTGTATACCTACATTTAGTGAATATGTACCAATAACATGTGACTCCATTGACATACAGAACTCTGGAGTTAATTATTGATATTATTATTATTATTATTACAGCATATTTATAGTGCGCCCTTTCATATAACATGTTCAGGGGCACTTTACAAAGTAACAATTCAATCATAAATAAACAACAAGATTATGGACATGTTAACGATTCCATACAGAGTCAGTTAAAAGCCTGATTAAATAAATGTGTTTTAAGTTGTTTTTTAAAGGAATATAGAGATGTACAACATCTTAAACTAAATGGTAATTATTCCATAAAACAGGTGCTTGATAACTAAAAGAGCGCTGACCATAAGAGACTAGTTGAACAGTTTTGGACTATAAAAGTAGTTTATCCGATGTACGTAATGTTTGGCCAGGTGTATAAAGTTCTAAAAGATCTGAGAGGTAAACAGGAGCTAAATTATTTAAACATTTAAAAGTAAGTAATAAAAACTTAAAATCAATTCGATATTTAACAGGTAACCAGTGTAAATTATATAAAACAAGAGTTATGTGGTCACATTTCTTAGTTAAAGTAACAAGTCTAGCTGCAGTATTCTGTACTTTTTGTAATTTATCTATAAGCTTTAAAGGTAAACCAACTAAATGTAAAAGTGAATTAAAGTTATCTAATCGAGAAGTGGCCAGAGAATTAACAAGTGACTTAGTGGCCTCTACAGTTACACATTTACGTATTTTACCTATATTTCTGATATTACAATAGCACAATTTACAAATATTATTTACTTGAGCTCCCATAAGCATAAAACTATCAAAAATTGGCCAATATTACGAACAGAATAAGATGAAAATATATCACAATTACCAATTACAACAGGGGGTTATCATGTGCAAATTTACTTAATTGATGCCTTGAGCCTAATAACAAATATTCGGTTTTATCATCATTCAATTTTAGAAAGTTCTTTGACATCCATTTTCTAATTTCACTAATACAGTTCTCAAGTTGCAATTTTGATAAACTGAAAGAAGATGGACAATTAGGTGTAAATGAAATATATAATTGAGTATCATCGGCATACAAATGAAAGCTGAGACCATATTTTCTGACACTATCACCTAATGGTGACGTATAGAGGGTAAATAAAATCGGACCAAGAACAGAACCTTGGGGAACCCCAGATGACAAAACAGATTCAGACGACGATTTGCAATTAACTAAAATACACTGTTTTCTAGCCACAAGATAGCTTTCTAAAAGATTTAATGCAGAGCCACAAATACCGAATTTAAATTGAAGTCTACGTAGAAGTAGGATGGAAGGGTCCACCGTGTCGAAAGCAGCAGATAAATCTAATAAAATTAAAAATGTACATTTTCTATTATCAATTTCCATTAAAATATCATTTGAAACCCAGGTTAAAGCTGTTTCGGTACTGTGAAATTGTTTATAAGCACTTTGAAATGGTTTATACAGTTATCATCTAGATGGGCCTTTATCTAAGAAGCAATACCTTTCTCCAATATTTTAGAAATAATACTTAAGTTAGAGACAGGTCTGTAATTTTTAAAAACATTAGGATCCAGTGTAGACTTTTTAATTAAAGGGGTAACAAAAGCTTGTTTGAAAACGTTGGGAATAGTAGAGGATGCTATACAAGAATTAATAATATTGGTAAAAACTGGAATAACTTCGTCTAGACAGTCCTTAAGAACAGGAGTCGGAACAGGATCTAATGAACAAGATTTAGGAGCAGACGATTTAATTAGCTTTAAAACAAAAGATTCACTAACCAAGTTAAAATTTTCTAAATAAACAGAATTTTCGAACTTATCAGCTTTCCTGGGCCGGATTTAAGACTGAATCGAGAGAGAGAGAGAGAGATGGGGTTTAACGTCCACTCGACACAAACTAGGTCATTTCGGGACTAACATATGTTTATTTTTAATTTTATTTCAATAATTCGCTTGCGCGTAGGGGTCTTTAGCAGTGGGAGGAAACCGAAGGACCCGGAGAAAACCCAATGAGGTTGAACAGGCGACCCTACTCCTTGTCACGTACAACCAGGGATTCGAAACCACGCCAGTCGACTCAATGACAGACTTTATGATACAGCGCGCGCACGCTAACCATTCAGCCATCCAACCCCCCCAAGACTGAATCAAGGGCTTTCAGAAATAATCTATGGTGCCACATGAAAGAGGGATAAACACTCTTTAATTCCATGCCATGCATTTAGTGGCTTAAAGAAATAAAATAGCAGCGGCCGTTTGGTAAAACAGAATTAACAAGACGGGGGGTGGGGGGGAGGGGTACTGCTTTCCTAGGACGGATTTCAGATTATGCTGAGGACTTTCAAGAATAATCTATGGTGCCACATGATAGAGGGATAAACACTCTTTCATTCAATTCCAAGTATTGAGTGGCTCAAGTAAATCAAAAAGCAGCGGACGTTTGGTAAACAGAATTGACATTAAAAAAATTTAAGTGTTTTGCGGTTTAACCGGTAATTAATTCAACCTGTTTTGCGGTGTATTGCAGTGACTTTCCGAAATTATCTATGGTGCTACAGAAATGGGGGATAAAGACTGTATCATTTCATGCCAATTATTGTATGTCTTCGGTGGTTTAAATAGATTAGTAGTGCGGACATTGGTTATTTATTCCGTACGCTCACTTTAACGGCTAAATATTGTGTTTTGTTAACCGCAGCTTTAAGTCCGCTCAGCCTAACGTCCGCTGACTTCAGTCCAACGGGCGAGCCGAGCGTAATCATGAGACCTACGACTACGATGACACGTTCATAGCTGAACTGGGTTTTCTTCTGAAAGTCTCACTTCTTTGTTAAAATCAGCCGTCGGGTTTTTTTTTTAATTACCTCATTCTTAAATAAAAATGTGTCGAAGTAGAATTAATACAAACCTGCATTTTTGTTTCACAATTAAAGTGTAGCCTACTTTAGAAATAAAACAATTTTCTAAATGTGTTTCATTGCCGCCATTAAAATTGTTAATTTCCGTTTCCGGTGAAGACGGAAGCAAACAATAGAATTGTTCAATGAAATTCACGACAATTGGTTCGATTATTCATCGATGAACTAGGCTAAAGTTTACCTTTTTCTCATCTTCTGCTTTGAGTAAGTAAAATAAAGTAAATCAAAATGTTTGCCTGTTGTTGAATTATTGACCAAAACTTGAAAATATCAAAACTTACATTTTGGAGAGCTGCCGTATGGATTAGGCCTAAAAAAGGAATTCTGTCTGAGTGATATTGATAATTGATAGACCTAGGCATACTGAATCTTTAGTTTTAAATTAAATGTTGATGTTCTAGGCTAGAAAGTTTTGAAAGAATTGATAGCCTACTGAGAACCAAGCGGTTTGATTTTTCCAACCACAGGCAGTTTCACAAGAAAAAGGAGTTATTTTTCAGGGTTCACGATCTTTCCTGTGTAATCCAATGATCTTTTTGAGACGAAAAACATATACAATTATCCAATAAAGATGTTTTTTTTTTTTCTTAAATAGTTTTAACCAAATGTTTGTTGATAGGTCTACCCATGATAATTAAAAAACTAGTACCATAACAATCAAGCACAGTGCTAAATTATATTTAGTATTGGTCTCAGAGAAAAAGCATTAACCAGTGTTTAGCATTAACCAGTTGTTTTAGCCTTTCATTTTCTGTTTTTTTTTTATATTCCAGATCTTTTATCAGGAGTGGTATTGTTGACACCTTAATACATTGAGAAAGAAGATTGACCAAAATGTTACCAACAGAAAGTGTACAGAAACATATAGTGAAAAGACTAGCTGGCTATGTTCCTTCTTTTACTGATATTTTTGATGAAGAATCCTTCTATATATTTGCAGTTTGTATTGTAATAGCAACAATACTGTGTGCTGTTATGGCATCCAAATATATCAAAGTCAACGATTTTTCACACATTGATTAAATTTGAGATAGGCAGGTGAATTTTACTGAACAAGGCTGTGAAAATTCAGTAGTTTAATAAAATATTGTACCGGTATATTTTTATGTCTGACACAGACAATTTTGTATTGAACATGGCAAATTCCAAGGTCTTGTTGTGTGATAATTTGTGTCTGACAATGTCTGTGACAGATGCCTTATGTTCAGGCATGATTAAATACAAAATTTATCACCTGTACATGTCAGTGTACGGTCCATGGTGTCACTCATATTAAATTCTCTTCCATAAAACATTAATGTGACCACATACCGGTAAGCTTATGTCTGCTATGGACCCTATACATTTTCAGTCATGAAATAAGACTTTGCTCCCTCATTCCCATGGGTTAGTCTATTGTTGAACCTATGTACATTTTTACTACTGTTTGCTGATGACCATTAAATAGTGACTTAATACCCTGTCTGTCAGTTTCTTTTAGAATTCTACAAGAAATCATTATTTGTTCACATTTTTATCTAGTCAACTCAATTTTTGTTTTTTCCCCTTTTTAACGTATTGTGCAATTACATACACTACATATTATTATGTAAAATGATCTTTTCTTGCAGTTTTGTGTTTGACCCATTTTGGTTTGAAAGAACTAATTGCTATATGATGTATTATTTATTTATATATACCATATTTTTTCTGCTTTATCTTTCTCAGTGTTGTGATCTTCACAATTAATGTGCAATATTTAATACAATGTTTATGTAAATAAATATTTGAATACTTTATTTTTTGTCATCTTTTTGGCTGGCATTGAACAACAGGAAATACGGAAAACACTTTCTTTATTCTAAGGCCACACCAATTTTTCTGTCGACATAAAAAAATAGCCATTTCAATCATGTGAATTTGATATAGGCACAACTAAGTACTTTTGGTTTTTAAATAAGTATTTTATCCGAAAAAATAGGATTTTTTTTTTTTTTTATATTTTTCCAGAAGAACAGAAAACCAATTTGGCATTGCCTTACAGTAACACTCCTTTGGAATACCTATAGACATATGACACAGCATCCATGTAGAAACATAATATATTAACCACTACATTTAAAAGAATTCTATCTTTTTCTTCCCATTATAGAATAAATCCACATTAATATTAGATTCTGTTTGAACAAATAATCTCCTCTCAGTCGTTTCTATGCATTGGACTCTGTCTAAAATAATCCTATGCGATCTCAACTACTACATAATGATGCTGTATATCAAATCCATTTAAAAACAATGAATGAAATCGTATAATGATTTTAGTTTCACCTGTCCGGTCAAAGAAATGTGGAGCTTAAAAAGTAAGATAACCCAATTATATTAAGTCCCACGGCATAATCCAGATCCACAGTCTTTGATGACAGTGAAGGCTTATTTGAATCGGACCGCAGTTATCTGTGCATATTTTAATTCATTAGGTTAAAGAAATATATGAAATGTATTAGTAAAAATAAACCATAGTCTCATTTATTGAAAATAGAGTTGCCCTCTTTCTACATATTCATAGAGAAATGAACTGTGTGGTTCGAACACAAAACTGGAACGTTGCCGATCGAGGTTATCTCCCCTGAAACAGTTTATATAAACAAGAAAAATGGCCACTTTCACTGATGTCAACAAATGTCAGTCAGACCGAGATAATTTTGAATTAACAAATTTAAGTACGACCCTTGTAGACTTACCTTCAGAAATCATTCAATTTATACTTCGCAGTAACGAATTATCAATACGTGACGTATGCCAAGTTTCTTGCGCGTGCAGAAAACTGCAGGAGAGTTGTTACTCGTACAGCAATGATTTGTGGAAAGCAAAAGTAGCACAAAGGTATACATTATTTTATAATATTGAGGGAAATAATGTCTTACTTTTCTGTACCAACTGGACCACTGAAGATGGTAATACCCTGTGCAGTGTGCCTTGATTGAAATGGCGCTATAATACAGCTAATGAGCTATTACATTTATCTTGAATGTCCTGTGCCACTTACAGACTTACACTGGGAAACCAGGCTAAAAAATTCCAACATTAGAATGGAACCTATTGTCTGAACCATCGTAAATTTTAAACATATTTCTTAGATTATGAACAAACTACTTAACTTTGGTGATTATAAACTTACCTGTGTGTTTGAAATCAACTCCCGTTAAATAAAATCCATTGCACAACTAATTATTCCAACGAATAAAAAAGTTCTCTCTTGAAAAATTGAAATCCCACAAACTTTTGACACAGAAAAATACCAATATGGAAGCTGATTACGTCACTCTTTGGGAGATATCATTTCGTATAAGGGGTGACAGCATAGCAAATCGAAACAGTTTTCAGTACTTTTACGACAATTCAAGTTTGGTTTAAGAATAACCTATAAGTCTCGGCTCGGCATTGAGTTTGAGCGTTCACACACATAGCTGTCAGTATTCTTTTATTTTGTTGCAGTCTTTTACATTCTAGTAAAATCTCTATAAATTTTATAACTTTACCTTTTGAAATATTTTGTTTTAATTAATTGAAGCAGTTATTATTTGATTGAAAGAATGCTATCAAGTTAACAATATACTTGGAGACTTCGGAGGTGAGCTTCATGATCCTTGCAATCAGTGATATTTTCATTTGATAGATTAGCGATCAATGGTTTCAATATAAATCTCCTATGTAATTGCCTTCAGTTCATATTTTTCGTTGCCCAAACTCGAACGATCATAATGATCACGGTTTGTTTTCATTGCAACACATGGTTGTCAAACTATCTGTCGAAATTAAACCACCCCCGAAACAGCTGCATTGGTTTCGCCCTACACGTGACGAAAGCATTGTTTTCTTCCACTCAGTCGAAATTATAAGTAAATAGTCAAATTTGTCAAGAGAGATTTTTTATTCGTTGGGAATGGGATATTTAGTTGTACAATGGATTTTATTGAATGGGAGTTGATTTCAAACACACAGGTAAGTTTATAATAACCAAAGTTAAGTAGCTTGTTCATAATCAAAGAAATTCGTTTAAAATTCACGATGGTTCAGACAGTAAGACCTCCTGGTTAGTGTGCTATATCATGGCTTCTAATATTTGTGGTGAAATATAAAGTTTTGATTAAATAACATGAACACCTATAATTACTTATTACACGTGAGATCAACTGAAATTTAAGATTAAAATACTGGAACTAAATGGGGACTTGGATGGCTGAATGGTTAGCAAGTGCGGGCTGCACTGTATCATACGGTCTGTCATTGAATTAACTGGCGGCGTTTTGATTCCCCGGTTGTACGTTACAAGGAGTAGGGTCGCATGTCCAACCTCGTGGATTTTCTCTGGGTCCTCCGGTTTCCTCCCACTGCTAAAGACCCCTACGCGCAAGCAAATTATTGAAATAAAATTGAACCATGTGTTAGTCCCGAAATGACCTAGTTTGTGTCTAATGGACGTTAAACCCCATTTCTCTCTCTCTGGAACTAAATTTTTATTCTGATATTGCTGTTTTCTTTACCCTATAGTCCAATGGTGGCTACTCTTTTCACCATCAACTCTCAGGGTGGTTGGAAGGCTGAGTGGTCTAACATGTTCGCTTTAGATCATAAGGTCTCTCATTGAGTCTCGTGACATGGTTTGATCCCAAGCTTGTACGTGACAAGGAGTAGGCTCTTCTGCCTAAGTTTGTAGGATTTTTTCAAGTCTTCTGGGTCCCCGGGTACTGTTTTTTAGTCCCAGAATAACCTAATTTGTGTTGAGTGGACATTCAAATCCATTTTTCTCTCATTCTACATCAGATGTCACAGCCTATGTACACGATTTTATGCGCCCATATTTTCATGTGTCCGTTGAATATATCACTGTTACACCGTAATGTTGATTGAGCTCAAATTTCGTGAAAATTGGACCAAAACTGCCGAACAAAATGGATGCCCCTCGTACGTAAATAGTGTAAAAATATGGTATATAAGGTTGTGGACCCTCTAGAGACCACAAGTTGGATCTGAATTTGATGATCTTGGTTCCTTTTGATAATCAATAATATCCGAATGTAACTTCTTATCCGATTTTGACGAAACTTTAAATATAGGTTTATCTCCAAAAGATCTCGGCTGCTTTCGATATTGGCATGTATCGGATCGAAACTTCATGGATTATGACCCCTGTTTGTACGAAAAATCACGTTTTTAGCTTGTGGACCCTATAGAGGTCACAATTTTTATCTGATTTTTTTGAAACTTGAAATGTAAGTTTATAACCCAAAGATCTCGGTTCCTTTCGATATTCGCGTATATCGGACCGTAACTTCCTGAATTATGGCCCCTGATTGTACGAAAAATCGCGTTTTTAGCTTGTGGACCCTATAGAGGTCATAGTTTTTATCCGATTTAAAAAAACGTATTATTATATTACCGTTACACTCTAAGGACGACCGAGTTCGAATTTCGTGAAAATCGGCCCAAAATTGACAGACAAAATAGCCGCCGTTCGTTGTCAAATAGCGTAAAAATATGGTATATCAAGGTTGTGGACCCTATAGAGGTCACAATTTTTATCCAATTTTGTTGAAACTTGAAATGTAAGTTTATAACCCAAAGATCTCGGTTCCTTTCGATATTTGCGCATATCAAATTGTAATTTCCTGAATTATGGCCCTTGATTGTAGGAAAAATCACTTTTTTTTTAGCTTGTTCTCTATCCATCTCTCCAAAATGTGGGCGTATCCTGCCTGGCAGCCGCTGGTTATCCGATTTTGATAAAACTCGAAATGTATGATTATAATCTAAAGATCTTGTTTCCTTTCGATATCTGTGCATATTGTACCATAACTTCCTGGATTATAGCCCCTGATTGTACAAAACATCACGTTTTTAGCTTGTGGACCCTCTAGAGGTCACAACTTTTATCTGATTTTAAAAAAACGTTTAAATATATCACTGTTACACCCTAATGACTGTTGGGCTTAAATTACGTGTAAATTTAACTGAAAGTGCCTGACTAAATGGCCGCTCCTTGTACACAAATTGTGTAAAAGTATGTAATACCAATGTTGTGGACCATCTAAAAGTCACAATTTTTATCCAATTTTGATGAAACTTAAAATATCTTTCTATCCCAAATATCTCAGTCCATTTCAATATTTGCGCATTTCAGAGCATAACTTCCTGGATTATGGCCCCTGATTGTACCAAATATCACTTTTTTTTAGCTTGTTCTGTGTCTATCTCTTGAAAAATGTGTACGTATCTTGCCTGGCAACTGCTGTTTATACTTTTAGATGGCCACGTTTGTTGGACCGATACAATCAAAACAAGTCACATTGTTGGATGGATGTTTGTAAAGCACGTAATAAAGTTAGCAGTGAGGTTGAAAAACATCTTACACAGTTGATTAAAGAATATCAACTTGTTGAAGAAATTGCAAAAGAAAAGTTTTATCCAATTACACGAATGATTGATGAAGATGGAATACCAGGAGACTTTATTGTTGATGAACTCTTAAATATTGTTCATGACGGAAAAAGGTAGGAAAATATATCTAAAACACCAAGCAAGACATCTTGACAAGTCTGTCCGTCGTGAAGAGCAAAGCTAAATTGTCCTGTTCCTTTCTTATTGATGGAACATCTTTACTGAAATTTTATTTTTGATCTCATCTTGATAACTCAGGTTATCTGAAGTACAGATTGAAAGTTAAGGTCCCTTCCATTTGCCTTTCTGGGGAATGGTGTTCACAGGGGACTTTTATTTTAAAATGAAATATAATGGGGTTTTAACTTCTGTATGAAGGGAATTTTGACCAAACAGCAATGGTGTATACACAGGTTTAGAGAAATCAGGCTGGAGAATCTCAGGATCTCCAGACGATTGAGTCGGCTCTTTACTCACCAAGCCACCATGGCTCCTAATTTTTGTTTGTTTTTTATTTAAAGTTTTTACTTAGCTGTAATAAATAAACACAGATGAAATCTATTTAACAAAAGTTTCTATTTTCATACAGACATTGTAATTTAACAATGAAATATTACTCGGTAAAGATTTTACGCCACATTCAGCAGCTACATTTATCACAACGATGGAGAGAATTTTTAGAGTTACCTCCTCAACAACATAGTTTAGAAACAGGCAAGTACAGGTTATTACATGGATACATTCCTTATATCTATGCATTATGAGAGAGAGAGATAAATGAGGTTTAATGTCCACTTATCACAAACTTGGTCATTTTGGGAATATCATATGGTTAATTTGCACATAGGTTTTATTTTGGCTTTGGGAGGAAACCGAAGGACCCAGAGAAAATGCATAAGGCGAGCAGGCAACTGTACTACTCCTTGTCACCCAACCTCCCATGTATTATGAGCATAACAACATTAAATGTTGCTTTGGGTATACAGTACATCAACATACAGTATGATGTAGGGCATGTGCTGAATACACATGTACTGTTATTATTTCATATTTTTCAAGGTCATTCGTGTATTGTTTGTTTTTTATTATAAACAGGTGCCAGTCTTATTGCTCAGTGGTGTCAACCTACAGAAATAGTTACAGAAAACACAATATCACAGCAAATAGATCAGATTGTCAAACTGGTTAAACAAGAACTTAAAGACAGATGTGAAGATCATCCAGCCATAAATTATGTACTAGATGATAGTGGTGAGACAATGAAACTTATCTGCTGTAAAAAGTACAAGAATGTGTTATCTATGTGAAGAATTTAATTTCAAAATTTTTAACATACATAGTCGGCTTTTCTGTGACAGATCTGAAATAATATTTACATTTATATACGCCCACATTGAAATATGGTCGTATATTGTCATCGCCCCCATCTGTACATCAGACAGTCCGGCCGGCCACAATTGCTTATGGATGCTCTAGAGGCTAAAGTTAATATACGATTGACTTTAAATTTATATGCAGTGTTTAAGGTTGTGAGACGAAGGAGCCTATTGATTTTCAGCGATTTCCAATAATTTCTGCTAGAGTTATGGCCCTTGTTCACTTTGAAAAATCTTGTGGATGCTCTAGAGGCTAAAGTTAATATCCAATTGACCTTAAATTTATACACAGTGTTTAAGGTCATCAGACCAAGAAGCCTATTGATTTTCAACGATTTCCAATTATTACTGCCAGAGTTATGGCCCTTGATCACTTTGAAAAATCTTGTAGATGCTTTATGGCCATTTATTATCATCTGATTGATTTTATATTTATACACTGTGTTTACACCTATATATAATCGTTTTAATTGACTTTAGATTGATGCACAGAGTTTAAGGTCTTGAAGCGAACAAGTATATTGATTTTCAATGGTTTTTGATAATTTGAACAGCTAAATCCATGATATTAAATTCTAATGATTTTCAGATAATTACTTAATGAGTTGTTACTCTAAAATCAGATTTTTGTGTATTATAAATGTTTCATTACCGACAAAAGTAAAAATATGCAACAACTCTTGCTGACTGCTTGGAGGATTTAGCTGATGTGGGCGTATGTTTCGTTGCTTGGCAACCTATTTTTAATATTTTAATGTGTCAGTTCGAAATAAATTCAATTTGAATACTTTAAGTCATGTGATTTGTCAGAAATCCAGTTGAATTTTATGTAAAACGATTTTATCGAGAATAATTTAACAGTTTACTAATTTAGTAGTTTATATATAATGAAAGTTTTCCCCTGATATAAAAGAGATGTTATACCTCACACTAAGCAAAATAAATGTAATTGATTTTGAATAATATGATATTCAAAACAACTGTATACTCATCTAATCATATCGGGAATCGAAGCACTGACCTATTAATGTATTTTTCTCGAGCATTCGTTGAATGCCTTGGAAACAATTACAAAAATTGTATGACTAACCAAATCTATATTTCTGTTTAACAACTGCGGAAGACCTTCCTCCTGCTAATGCTGTTTTATAGTTTAATGTTAATATTAATGAGATGAACAAATAATTATATGTTTTCACACGTCAATCAAATCCTTTCAGGTTTCATTAGTTTTGACACATGAAAAAAACAACATCTAGGTCAACATTGAATTATTAATTTCACTATAAACACACATAGACAATGATATCAGAACTTAGATGAAATAAAATAATTAATATAATTTTCTTTATCTTCCAGAATTAGTAAGGAATGAATGGAGTCCTGAACAGAGTAGAATCATTCTGGAAGCCATAAACCATGTTCTCTTCGAAAAATTACAGTATCGGGGAAATATGTCTGAATACTATGATCCATGTAATTCATATATCAACAAGGTAGGTATTAGCGATATAAATATATGGTGGTGCTATTCATTGCTATATTTTACATTCCTTTAGGCTTTGAACAACACATTTTTGTGATGATGCCATGCTTATTATGAACTGATACTTTAATCTCCCATTACGTACAACCATGATAGGCAAATACACTGATCTCTTTCAGTATAGAATTTTATTTTTCTAGGTTATAATGAAATTTTCTGTTGAAAATATGTTTTTAGGTTGGACTGACCCAATTACCAGTAAACCTTATCTTCCCTTTTATGTGAATAAGATAAAATAAAATGTAGCCTACATGTTTACAGATTTTAGAACGGAAAAAGGGAATACCAATCACATTATGTATAATATATAACTGTGTTGCTAAAAGACTGGGTGTATTATGTCAACCTGTTAACTTTCCTTCTCATTTTCTCCTAAGATGGGAAGAACATCCATTGTAAGTTGTTAACTATATTTATGCTTATATAATGACTTTTTAAATTGATTAATTTTTTGTAAGGGGTGAGGCTACCCGAAAATGTTCTTTTAAATTTTAAAACTATTGAATTGAAAATGGTACAAGTAGTAAGGGTAGCCTCCCCCTTTAAGTGCTTAATGCAGTGTTAAAACTAGATAATAATTTTTATATGTTTGTAAAAAGTTTCGTCATTCAAATTAGATTAAAGATTTTGAACCTTTTTCGATTGTTCATGAAAGAAAAATTCATATTTGCATAAGGCATGGATTACTAAAATTGTATGTTAATTGCCCTGGCAGTCTATTATTTTATTTTTAAAAAAAGATGTAAATTTTGCTGAACATAAGAACCAAAGGTATCTGTTTCAGGGCCTCACCAGTACAGAGGTACACATATATAGATGCCTTTCATGGTGGTCAGTTTTATACAAGTAGTGAATGTTGTCAAGCTTTAGGTTTACCAGAATCTATAGCACAGAATAGAGAAATATATGAAGCTATAGAACACAGAAAGGTATTATTTACTGTTGACATTTAAAGTGAAGAGAATTGTCGGTCATCAATAAGGAGATGTGGGGCTGAATGGTCTATCGCATGTGCTTCAGATCATAAGGTCTGTCATTCTGTTAACTGGCGTGGTTTCGATTCCCAGCTTGTGTGTGGCTAAGGATTTACCATAGGTGTTAAAATGAACCAGTTTGTGTTAAGTAGACCTTAAGCCCCATTTTTTATTACAAGCCCAATTTGATGCATCATTCTTTTATTTCATTTTAGGTTTTTGAACGAATGGCAAGAAATCTTGTTGGAATAGGTCGGCATCAGAATCAAATGGGAGATGGACTGTTGTGTTTGCGTAATTCTTTAGAGTTATTTCTCTTGATTTGTCCTGATGATTTGGAAATGCGATTACTTCAAGTGCGAATAAATCTGCATTTAAAGATTAACTTACCTGAGGTTAGTGTGTTCATATGTTACCATTGATGATAAATTTGTCTTGATAATAAATGCAATAGTTACCAAGTTATTGCATTTTTGGATTTCTTATATTATATCCTATTCTTTGATTTATGGTAGCTTCTTATGGAAAATTTAAGGCATGACTTACATAGAAGCAAAATATATATATGTATGACAATGGATATAGAATAAATATTGAAAATAAGATTATAAGCTCACGGCTTGATATTTATCATTTTCATTGCTTATTTAAAACTGAATTTAGTAGACAGGAGGCTCAGTGTCTATCAAACGGGAACAAAACCAGACCCAACTTTTCTAGAGTAAAATTTTCCGTAGAATACGATGCCTAATGGTAATCAGTCCGCCGAAACAATTCCGAACTAATTGGGATGAGAATAAAGATTATAATTTTACTGACAGGTTATAGATAGTCTACAGAGAGTAGCGGATCTAGATAATAGTAGATTAGGTATTGTAGCTTATTTACAACAAGAGGCACAGAGTATGATGCAAGAAGTAAAAGAAGAAAATGAAGTACAAAAGAAGGTATGGTTAAAATATTAATAACTTATAACTGGACACTGACATGTAAATACAAAGTTGTTTCCAATGTGAATGTCCCAGCTTATTGAGAAATGGTACCAGTTGTTCCACAAAGAGTACATAATAATATCCTGCCCCAAGCCAATTCGAGCAATAGTTTGTATTTGGATTTCAGATTCTGAAACAAAATATGCTAAGTATCTGTTAAATTCAAGCAGTATATTTTGGAGAATTTGGAGGTGGGGGCACCATATAATAAGATTTCCTTAAGCACTGCAATCTGTTAAACATTCAAAGTCTTTCAATATACAATGTATTTATCTCCATTCTTACATAGAGATCAATATTTCTACTATTTAAAGAAAGTTTGTATATATTAAGGCATTGCTTTATCATTTTTTTACTTATATATATATTAATTCTAGGTACAGGTTAAACGAAGGAAAGACAATCCAGAAGTGAAATTTTCTACAGGAATGATCATGAAGCATAAAAAGTAAGGAAAGATTTTAGATTTTATAAATGCACAGTACATTTATAAGAGCCATTTGGCTGACTGTTGTTGATATTTCTGATTTACATTTTACATTTCATGTGTTATACATCTGTCGATAACCATGTACCTGAAACATTATTTTTCATTTACAATGATTTTGTGCCTGCTAAATCTCTTAGCTTAGCTAAATAGAATAAAAAGAATTTTGAGCTATTAATTATGGATAAATAAAACATTGTATTTGATACAAGTTACAAATCTTCGTCGGTAAATTTCTCGAGTGTTTATTTTCAAGGATTCAAATCACTTCACATAAAAGTGCTGTTTACGTCATGTGTTGTTGTTGAATGACGTGAATGAGCTTATAGAAACATGTTTATTGATGAATTCTGCACCCCTTTTATAAATAGATGATTGTAAAGATACACATTAATCTTGCAATGCTGATCGCAATGATAACTCATGAGAATGATGTTTTCATGATCGTGTAAACACACCACAGATCATTTCTCGCAGACAAAAAAAATTTGAAATTGACAGAATTGGGATGTTGTGTTGAAAGAAATGGAGTATAAATTGTGTATTTTGATAAGAAGCTTGGATCAGTGCAACTCTGGCAGTTCTCTGCAAGATGCAATGACATGCCAAAGTTGACACCTGAACACCGAGAATGTGCCATTCCATTATTTCATGAGGGTTTGAGTACCAGAACCACTGGCAGGAACAGTGCAACAACCATCCCATAAGCTGCTAAATATGGACACACACATTACTGACTTTTGATATTTATCCCCTGTGCTTATTTTTCACTGTAAAGTAAGTTGTTACAGTCTCTGTGGGTTGTTAAGAATTATTTTGTATCTATAAATGACTAGTCTTCAATAATACCAAAAATCACAAGTCATCTGTGTTATTTCTTGCCAGCACTTCCAGTATTGGTATCATTGTGTTATATATCTATAGGTATCATTATAATTATATATTTGTTACATATCTATGGGTATGATTATATATTTGTGTTATATATCTACAGATATCATTATATATGTGTGTTATATATCTGTAGGTATCATTATATGTGTGTAATATATGGATGGGATTCAACATGTCAAGCTACAGATGAATGGATAATACAGATGGGTGTAAATAGACTTCCACGTGATCAGTATCAACCATTTTATAATGTACTAGTTCAAGATGGCAGCAATAGATATGCAGCTCAGGGTAATTATGACACTTTGGACACACATATCATTTCTGTGAAGTTGTTACATTAAACATACATTATGCAAGATCTAAATCTGCCAATTGCAGGTCTTTCATTAGGCCTGGAATGTTTTCTAAATTATTAATTAGATATTAATTATCTTATCTAGGCCATAATCAACTCTCGATGGCATTGGTTTTCTCCGATATTAAATAGATTAGAACAGTTCAGCCATATTTTGATTTAAGCTAAGAATGGAGGAGCGAGATTTAGCTTCGAACAACCAGTACGGTGGTTGAAATTAATGCACACGTCTTGTCAAACCTTCAAAGGTTAATATCTTTGCTCGTAATAAAGTAATTTGAATGAAATTTTCAAATTATTGTCCCCCGCCTTTCGAAGAAAGCAGGGGACTATTAAAATGGGTTCGTCCGTCTGTCTGTCCGTCTGTCTGTCCGTCTGTCTGTCCGTCACACTTTTTGGGACACAATAACTCTCTTCCTAATTGAGCTAGAATGTTCAAACTTGGTGTATGTGTTTATTAGGTCAATGCCTTGATGGAGTTCGAAGATGAGCATTTTCCGCTTAGGGTAAGCAGAGATAAGCAATTTGATTGCTTGATGCTTTGGGACACGATAACTCTCTTCCTAATTGGGCTAGAATGTTCAAACTTGGTGTATGTGTTGATTAGGTCAATGCCTTGATGGAGTTTGAAGATGAGCATTTTCCGCTTAGGGTAAGCAGAGATAAGCAATTTGATTGGTTGATGCTTTGGGACACGATAACTTTTAATTGAGCTAGAATGTTCAAACTTGGTGTATGTGTTTATTAGGTCAATGCCTTGATGGAGTTCGAAGATGAGCATTTTCCGCTTAGGGTAAGCAGAGATAAGCAATTTGATTGGTTGATACTTTGGGGCACGATAACTCTCTTCCTAATTGAGCTAGAATGGTCAAACTTGGTGTATGTGTTGATTAGGTCAATGCCTTGATGGAGTTCGAAGATGAGCATTTTCCGCTTAGGGTAAGCAGAGATAAGCAATTTGATTGGTTGATGCTTTGGGACACGATAACTTTAGTTCTAATTAAGTGAGATTGATGAAACTTGGTGTATAGTTTCATTACAGTAATACCTTGACTAAGTTTGATAATGAGCATTTTCTGCTCAGGGTAAGCAGAGCGATACGCAATTTGATTGGTCGAGACTTTGGAAAACAATAACTCTCCTACTTTGATTGTTAGACTATAAGTAAAGATATACTGTTTGATTGTTCAATACTTTGTAAAAGATAATTTGTGATAAATTATATGTGTCCTCTAATTATTTTCCTATTTCGGAGGGGGACATCAGCCTCACTGTTGGCTTGTTCATTTTACATTATTATCTATTTTCGAACTATTATAGCAAGAATGGCTAGCTCTTTATCTAAATCTTACATAATGTATCTTTAATACATCCAGAATAATGAATTATTATATCTTGAGTCAATTAACCCTCATTGAACCTGTGTTGCAGAGGTTGTGTGGTTATGTGGCAAATAAAAATCTCACAGTGCAACTGGCTAGTTGCATTCAAAGTATGCCACAACATCTGTATGGGGGAAATAACCTATTGAAAAGATAGTGTATTTACTGATAAGGTACTGGTACAATTTATTGTGATTAACGCATCGCGTGAGCAATAAGAATTGTGACAAGCAAATTCATAAATAACAAACTATGTTCTTCCTTTATTTTTCAGAAAATCTTTTATATCATGATGAAACAATAGAAATAAATCATCCAGAAATAGGGAGGTATTTTGACGAGTATTGTGGTAGCCATTATAGAATTAATAGTACCAAGATGGAAGAATATCCTGATGATCTACAAGTAACCTTAAAACTCATTAATCCAGAATTACGTCGGTAATCAAAATTGACGATAACAGCAGCTTTATAAATCAGGTGTAATAATTCCATGTAATTAGAACGTACGTCAATGTGGTACATGTAATACTGCAAGTATTAACAAAAAACTTGGAGGTGAGAGAAAAAACAGGCTGTTGATTTTCTTTGATGATTATTTAATTTGTTGAATTAAAACCACCATTTGACCAGAACAGTGATTATACGTACAGCTGACCTGCAAGAGATAAAACTGTCTGCAAGAGATTATAGTTACTACATGCTAATATTGTGTGCCTAAAATCTTGTTCTGACCGATATCTAAACAGTGGCCAGTTAATTGTTCCAGTAATGAGCCTTCTTTCATTTTAACACTGTAAAAATTGGCATGACCATGGGCGCCTTTGTGTCAGTCTGAACACTACGCTATAATAACATAACTATATGGGGTACTTTTAACTGTTTAAAAATACCTATAAAAGGGTAAAATAATAATAAAAATGTACATTTATGATTGCGCTCACTGCATCCATATTGCATGCTTTAAGTGCATGGAAGATAATAGCTAATCCTGATAAGTAACAAACAAATGAGTTTGGATTTCAACACAGCTAATGTTTGAGAACTCTGTAACTCCAATAGTAAGTTATTCCACAGACGCGATCTACATATACTGAAGGCTTTATCCCCATAGGATTTCAGTTTAGCTTGCAGTACAACCAAATGAGGGCATATTTTGTAAACGAAGTGGTTGATTTGATATGATTGAATGAGACCCATGAGGTAAGATGGAGAAAGATTGTGTTGACACATATAAACCAATGTTAAAATCTTTAAAGTTACCCGTGCTTCTATAGGTAACCAATGTAGTGATTTTAAGATGGGAGTCATGTGAGAGTACTTTTGTGTTCTTGTTATTATTCTGGCGGTTGTGTTTTGATACACATCAATTTTGAAAACTTATTATGGTTCAAGTTTCTAAGTGTCATTTGAGGATATAGGAATCTCTTGCAAATAACAATATGTAAATGTTGAATCTCTAATATACTAAACAGCGAAAAAAAAACATCAGTATGATTTCAAAATCAGAGAGGCACTTTAATCAAATCATTCCAGAACCGACTTACTAAATGGATCAAAGCAATTTTTTGTAAACAGTATGTTGACACATTAGTGATTAATTCATCACAATTCCAAGACATTACATGTACGAGAAGGTTTAGAGTCTGTACACAGTCTATACATCAGTATCTGGTGTGTCAATAACAGCAGCACAGCGTCTGTACATGGAGTGGACAAGACGATTGATGAACGCCATTGGCAGCTGGAGCCACACTCTCAGAAAAGCCTGGCGCACTCCATCGGCTGTGTTTGGTCCCGGTACGACGTTATTAAGTCTTCTCTGATTTTCATTCCAAAGATGTTCAATCAGGTTTAAGTCCGGACTAAGGGCTGGCCAGTGCATAACGTTGACACCGTTCTGCTGTTGAAAGTCCTGAGTAGCTCTGGCGGTGTGGGCACAGACGTTGCCATGCTGGAAACGTTTCGATGACGTGCGAAATGTGGTATGACGTGGGGTCTAAGAGCTTGATCGATATAGCGCACTGCTGTGATGATGCCTCCTCTCCCTGGACCAATATTTTGGAATACCACAGGACCCACTCTCTGGTTCAGGCCGATTCCACCCCAAACCATTAAGCTAGGACCTCCCTGAGAGTCTCGTTCAGTGACACATTGGTCAGAATAATGCTGGTCACGTCGTCGCCATATTCTGGTCCTGCCATCTGCAGTTGATACGCAATAAGGACTCTGATCTGTGAACAGAACAGTTCTCCATTGCCTCTGTCACCAGTTCTGGTGTTGTTGGGCAAACTGTAGATGTTCACTTCGATGGTGAGGGGTGAGGATCGGTCCACTGTAAGGTCTACGATAATGGATGTTTGCTCTGGTGAGATGTCCGCGCACTGTATCGGTACTGATGGGTCTTCCGTGTGTTCCCACTGTCTAACGTGCTCTCTCAGATGCCTGTGTGAAGGGATTCTGCACATGCTGTCGCACAACATGGCGGTCTTGTCGCCTTGTGGTAACCCTTGGTCTACCAGTTCGTAGGCAATCATCCGTGGTGTTGGTAAGCCTGTAGATGGTCCAAACATTGACCTGGAAGTGTTTGGCAACGGCTTGGGCAGTGTGGCCAGCTTTCGAAGCGCCTGGTTCCTCTGAGCTGTCGTGAGTCGTGGCATGCTGCTGACATAGTGTGAATAATACAACCAGGTATGAGTGTGCATTTTATAGGGCTGGTCCCAGTGAACAGCACGTGCAGCATCTCAGAAGTCGGGTTGTGTTTTTGAGAACATTTCCTGGGTTCAATTCTGTGTTTGGGAAGGAGCCTTATTGCTCAGGTAAAGTTGGAGATGTGGTCACAAATATATAATAAAAACATAATTTGGCAAGATTTGTGCAATGCGTCTATTCAGAGTAACATACCAACCGGACGTTTCTTTTGCTGCTTAGTATAAAAGGAATATTACTATTATTAGTCTAATAATGGTTAAATAATCAATATGTTAGATTAAGCCATATATTTTTTCAAAAAATATTGGGTACACTATTCATCTAGCCATTATTTGATTTTCATTTTCTTAGTATATTAATTAGAGAGATTTTGTCTAGTGTGAATATTAAATGGTTTGTTAAAGACACATTAGTTAAGAGCTAAATCTGCCTATTGCAAGTCTAAATGCTTCAGATGTTATAGAAATTATTAATTAGACCTTTCTTTACACGACAAAGCACAAAATCAACTCTGTAGACCCTCAAATGGCCTACAGTCGTCCATTTAATAATCAAATCAATAAATGGCTGACCAAGCTAACATTTGCCGTTAGTCACTTGCGCCACTACCGGAGAAAGGCCTGCCAATCCAGGCCCAAGGGTACCGCAGCCATTGAGAATGTTACTTGATAATCGAGAATAGTTATCGTAACCGTATCAATCTATCGGCAATTCTACGAGACAGTTCATATGCCTATTTCTTGTCCAAACTTCCAACTTTGACAACTTGATTCAGAATAGAGTAAATTTTCAATATTTCTTTTTTTTATCATCTATATTTGAATTATTATAGCAAGAATGGCCAACTCTTTATTAAACTCTTAACTAATGTATTTTTAAGGTATAAAATAAATATGTATACTAATTTAATTGCTATATATTTTTGTATGGGGAAATAATTCTATATCCAGAATTGTTGTTTTATTCATTAGATGATTTTCCATTAAAACCAACCTTTCAATTTTCTGTGTCTTCCATTTTAAACTGGGCAAATCATGAAAAGCTACTGTAGAAAATAGCGGTAATATCTAGGCAGAATTGCTTGGTGGTTTGGTTTGTTTTGTTCACATCTTAATGGAAAAGGTGGGGTTGGACAATTATTATCAGGACTATTTTCATTTTGATAAAAATATTTGTCATGGTCTGACACTTGATTAGTATCAACTGAAGTGACTGGATTTAAGGGTGTGGTCTTGGATTATATAACTTCTATTTGCCTTGCCAATTACTAGTTAAAATGACCAGCCGGAGAATTACCCATCAATCAATTTATTTATACCTTAAAATTAGGTACCTATTTGAGGAGTTTGAACTAAAATATAAATAAATTGGTAGTTTTATGGGTAGAACAAGTAAAAATTGGATTACATCAAATGGACTAAAAAATTAATTGGCTGGAAACATTTTGAAATGAGGGTCCTCATATATGACTAACAGATTAGTTCACCGACTTTTGGGAGGTGGCATTTTTGGACACTTCTCTTTTTTTTTTTTGTAAGCTCACATGTCCACGGTTATATTCTTTGTTTTTTCAGCCAGTACAGTGGAGAATAATGCATGGTTATTTTTATTTCACGAGTTAATTTTGCAATAAAATTAAAGAACACATTATGAGGCATTTCTATTATGTACAATTTATTCAATAAATTATGTAATTAAATATTTCAGATACTCATAAATTAAAATCCTTTAAAAATCACAGGTTATTGTGTATAATTTAAGAAAGGGAGTAGAATTTAGATAAATATTATATAAACTTTAAATTACACATCAACAGTGTGTTAAATAGTCGTAAGAAAAAGCAGTTTTACCTAATCACAGATATCAGGTTTAAATTTACAAACCTTGTATATTTCAAATGCATGTGTAAACATTAAATAGTTCTGCATTGGATAATATTCTGTGTGTATGGATATTTATCACAGTTATAAATTACAACAATAAATCATTCTGTTTTAGACAGCAGCTAAAATTTTTGGATTTAAGCAGTTATTGAGAAACAAAAAGTTATCTTTGTAAAAATTATATATTAAAATAATGCTTTATGGTTTTGACAAGACAAATTGACCATAAATTTAAATGTCATTTTATAGCTTACAAAATATATTTGTGATGGAGATTTAAACGTCCACACACCATATAATAGTGAATTAGGTGTTGAATAAAAACATTAAAAATATCTATGGAGAAGGATCTGTTATTTAAGTTGCACATTGTAAATGTTAAAAGGGCATGGATGTGAATTTATGTAAATTTTATAGGGTATGCATGTGAATTCCTTAAAATTTTTCAATGTTAATGCTCTTTCTCATGCCCATACATTCCACTTCATCCACAAATATTGTATTAGCTTTAACTTCAATATCTTCCTCCAATTCCAGCTGGTTTCTAACGAGACCTTTCAATGAGTTCTGTGATTGATCTAAGCGATGCTGAAGGCCTGCAACAGACGTTTCAATTTCACTGACCTCTTCGATCAGACGATATTGTACTGTATCGCGACAAAGTTCTACATTGGGTCGTTCTGTACGGGTATTAAGACGAGTGTGAGCCAGTTTTAATGGCTGTTCCTTGTCCGAGATGGATTTCTTTAATTGTGATATATTTTCTTCAATCTCCCTTATTTGTGACAATACCTGGAAAATAAAACACAAATCGTGAGAGAATATAGAACAGAACATTTTTCAGTTTATCAAAGCTATTTACATAAATTAAAACTAGTCAAATACCAATATTATTTTTGTATTTTCAGCCTGAATACATCTTAGTATTTGAAAGATCCTTAATCAAAGTGTTTGCAGTCCGTTTCAATTTTCAGGATAGCAATATCTTTTGTTTTTATTCCTCCAACAAATCTTGAAATCTTTTTTGTTTATATGCCAGCAATAAATCTTTGTTACTTTTTATTCCACTAGCATAATATTTACACTCAAAATCTGGATCAAGTAGCAGAAACAAATTTGAACATAGAAATCCTTTTTTACTAAAAGGCACCTTTTAAAAAATATTCTAACCAAGTTTACTTTCTGAAATGCATGTCACCTTAAAAGGATTAAGACAAAAACTGCAATTAAGGTACACACCTTATTAAGATGATCTTCTAGTTTGCCCTTTGTATCTTTGGTTTCTGCAATTCTCTTAGTGAAGGCCAAGTTCACCTCACCACATTGTTTCTGCATGTCATTAGCAGTAGACTGGAGAATACCATCAACCAAGGAACGTAACTCCACTGAACTGTGTCGCTCACGTTCAGCGCTTTCAATATTTTCATTTGAGAAATCTTGCCACTCATCAGGAGTAACTGAGCTATAATAACAGAAAAAGAAATACACTAGAATGATTTTTTTTTTAAAAATTCAAGAAACAATGATCATTTTGAAATGACTAAATACTTTTAAAAAATGAATTTTAATAAATGGCTCCAAAATAGTATTATAAAGAAAATCTAAAATAAGTCACAAATACTTACTTTGGATCTATCTTTGCAGCACCATCTTTAAATTGTAAACCTGATGAATTATTCTTGAGGTTTTCTAGAAATTCATCTATAGATTGAGCTTGAAATTTATCCTTTAAATCCTTTTCTAGTCTATATTTAGATTTTCTATTCAATCTATAAAAATAAAAAATACATATCACAACAATCTAAATAATTAGAATGACACCATAATAACTATCACAAATGAAATAATTAGAATGTGATCACAAGACTGTCAATACCATAATTAGAATGACACCACAATAGTAGTCAATTAATAAGAATGACACCACAATAGTAGTCAATTAATAAGAATGACACCACAATAGTAGTCAATTAATAAGAATGACATCACAAATGTATCAGTACCATAATTCAAATGACATCACAACACTGTCAATATCATAATTAGAATGCTCATCGCAATATTTATAAAACTAGAATGAAATCACAATACTTGTAGTAATAACTAGAATGACATCACAATACATGTAGTAATAACTAGAATGACATCACAATACTCCTATTATAATTAGAATGACATGGCAGATGACATCACAATACTTTTATTATTAACCAGACTGATATCACAATACTTGTATTTTATAACTAGACTGACATTACAATACTTGTATAATAACTACAGTCTAGAATGACATCACATTACTCGTATTAATCACCAGAATAATATCAGAATACTAATACTTGTATTAATTACTAGAATGACATCACAATACTCGTATTAACCAGAATATCATAATACCAATCTCATTAAAACACAGATCTCATTTTGTTTCCTTTTTTATTGTTCAAAATTTCGTATTACTTTTTATATTACCGGCGTTTTGGTTGAAGTGAGGGACAAGCCTATGAAATGGTCTGTTACAGCGATTTCTTGGCGTGCCATTCACGGAATTGTGGATAACTCACTAGAAGCGCCAACGCTGATTGATTAATCAATGCCTGATGTCATAGGATCAAAAGCCACTCGTACGAACCCTGACACAACCTTCGAGTACAACTTGTCAGATCTTCATGTAGTGTAGGCCATCGAAAGTATAAAAAAAGTGAAACAAAAAAATTATAGATCTGTATTTTAATCAGATTGTCACAATACTTGTATTTTATAACTAGAAAGATATTACAATACTTGTATTATTAACCAAAATGACGTCATGATACTTGTATATATGATATCACACTACTTGTATTAACCAAAGTGACATTAAAATACTCAAATTAATAACCAGAATGACATCACAATACTTGTATTAATCACCAGAATGACATGACAATACTCGTACTAATCACAAGAATGACATGACAATACTCGTATTAATCCCCAGAATGACATGACAATACTGGAATGACATGAGGATATCACAATACTTGTATTAAAAACTAGATTCTAGAATGTATGGGTGATGATTTTCCTTGGAAAACACGTAAATCACAGAATGTAGCATTTGAAACAGAATTTACAATTTGAAATGAAATATAGCAAAAAAGCACATTTTTCCAAAAACCAATCAATGTGATCATAAAATACACTTATTGCTGAAGTTTTATTTTTGTAAATTCCCCCCCTCCCTCCACAAAAAACCCCAATGAATGACATCACAGTACACTTAATAATAATCATCTATCAATTATTAAATTGACATGACAATACTATATGGGTATCAAACATTGTTTAAAACGAGAAACAGTACTCAGTAGGACGTTAAACCACCATTTCATTCATAAGAAGAAGATATAGCATGACAAACAAAACAATGTCGTCTGCTAAATTGTATATAAATATATACCTGACTTGTTCCCCAGTTTGATCTAAGGTTCTTTTAAGCAATGCTCGTACACCTTCAATTGTTTCAACTTCTTTAATTAATTCTTTCTGGGCATCATCATGAACCAAGTCGATCCCCAATCTTTGTTCCCTGTAAAAATATTTTTTACTTTTTTAAAGGAACATACAAATCATTAGGAACAATTTTATCGCAGGCCAAACATTTGATCACATCAGGGACTCAAAAGTTCAAAATGACCAAATACTTGAATGTTGACAGGGTATTTTATCCAGAATTTCAATTTCTGAACTATGGGAAGAGTGGGAGTTATTTTATATAAGGTCAATTTAATATGCATTTTAAATTAATTATCAAACTGTCCTATCTAAAACTAAATGATAAGGGCCTTGGTCAACCATTCTGGCCCTTTATTCGAACCATGTGAAACTATTTTGAAATAAAATATAACAAAAGACAATCAAAAGGCAGTTCATATTATTTATAAGTGTATCATGTTGATATTATTACCTGTTGGCTAGACATCTTTGGGCTATATGTAAAGGTTCATCTGTAGCTTCAAGAGCTTTTTCAACACGATTTTGAAAAGCTAATAAATTATCTACTTCTGTTGTAATTCCTTCAAGTTTGTCATCAAGTTCTTTCTTCCAATATCTGATATCATCAAGTCTTTGTTCTAAAAAAAAAAAAAAAATCAGAAAATATAAATTTGAAGTACAACTGTCAAGTCTGAAATGAGTAGGAAACAGCTTCTGCTACAATAAGAACATCAGCTTATCTAACTATGGGTTAGGAAAACACAAATTTGATTAACGTCAATGTGATTGTGAATAAAAATCTATGTTATTCAATTTGTTTTTCACTCAAAAAGTCAAATCATCAAATAATTTATTTATAAACACTCTAATGATGTAATTTTAATACATTGATTAATACTAATAGCTGAAGAATCTTTTATTCCCTTAAGACAGTTTTCTTTGAAAATACCATAGGCCATAAAAATGTATTTAATTGTAATTTTGTAAATGATTAATTTAAACTTATCAAATAAATGATATTTTTTAACTGTGAAATAGATGTACTACTACTAGTTTGGTACAAGCATTTCATATAAATTATGGTTGAAATAACTTAAAATTTAATTATATCAAGTTAGCTTGGTTTATTGTAATGTTAATCAAATGATTAACTGTATAAATTATACTCTAATTTATCACTGATTAGCCATATTATATTCATAATTGGGTTTATATTGAATATCCATCTGTTACATTTCATGGAATTAATAATATAATATTTTAACATGTATGACTTGATGTATGATGACTCTATGATGTTTTCAAAGTCTTTTAGTTCTAAGTTTTCGAATTTTAAACAGAACATTGTCCAACTGACTTAAGTGGATATTTATTTATCAAGACCCTGAAGTGGTCAAAAAAAGTAAAAATCAAATTGTTTTGGTTGGAGTCTATTATTTCCATCTAAGAAAGTGCATACATTATTCATGGATTATTATTATTGCAGCATATTTATAGTGCACCCTTTCATATAACATGTTCAGGGGCACTTTACAAAGTGACAATGTAATCCTAAATAAACAACAAGATTATGGACATGTTAACGATTGTATACAGAGTCAGTTAAAAGCCTAATTATGTGTTTTAAGTTGTTTTTCAAAGAGGTTTTCTGCAACTACACTGCAATTTTGAGCAATAAATATGATTCCTGTTTGGATTCAGGTTTTACAGCCATAGCTAATTAGGCCTTTACTCTTTAGGCTCATGTCTGTCGAAAAATTATAGCTTTAATTAATTCAATGCTGTTTTTCTTTATTGTGGGTCAATTATCCATAGTTTTATTGAGGGTTTATCATCCAATCTGACTCTTAGTTTGCTGGTCAATAGAATAATATTTTATGATAAGCTTACTTATTATTTATACTTACGAAATTTTTTGCTGACATCTCTTTGGGTCTTTTCTGTTCTCTTCTCAGTTTCATCTGCATATCTTTTAGATTCATCTACAAGTCTTTCTGCGGCCTGACGTTCAACTTCAGCATTAGCATATTTTGTGAGGTTAGATCGTGTCCATTCTTCATGTGTGAATCTCTGGGGTGTTTGAATTACCTTTGCCATGATGTCTAAAAATAGTAATAATGCAAGAAATGTTTTTAAATGTATTTTTATCATGACCATAATGAATAGGAATTATAAACACAATTATGTTGCATTTAACGAACAACAAATGAGGCTAAATGAAGATTCTGATGTGTATCACTTTGGCACTAACTTTACGATAACTAAAATACCCATTTTAAAAACAGTCATACTCATTGATAGTCTAACTCAGTAGTGATCAAAATATTTGAAATTTGACTATTATGAATATAGTATGTTGTACTTCAATTTCAATAACAATAAAAGAAGCCATATTAGTATTTTCTTGCTGTAGACAAATGACTACAAAACTTGCGCAAAGGAAGGCCTGTTGTTTTGTTCATTTTAATAAATCTATATTATAAAAAAAGCAAAGTTTAAAGTGTATGAATAAAGCAATTCTTACCCACACTGTAGTCAGCTTTAATGCATTTATATTTAATTTATTTAATAGCAAAGTGACATTATTATTTAATATCGCGATATTTAACTATATCGTTGAAGAAAAAAATGCCAATATCGATATCGTCCCTTTTTGCAATATCGTACAGCCCTAGTAGTAGTTAGAGACTTAGCTACTTTAAATTGACAAGTCAAATAATTCGTGTTTTCAATGTCGAAGACTTTGGATGATATTTAGTTAGAGACTTAGCTACTTTAAATTAAATTAATATAATTCTTTAAAAAAAATGCGAATATCTATCAAAAATGATAGGCTATTATTGTATTAATATCGGCATCGCTTAATTTGACATCAATATCAATAGCCTATCATCAATATGCATGAATATCTAATCTATAGGCTAGTCTGTAGAACTAGAACTGAAAGGAATAGCATAAATTAGGAACACAAGCAAAAATACTGATTTGTAATCAAAAAGGCACAGGCTAGAAAAAGGTCTGCAAAATATCGGGTTGAGTCAAACTGATAATTGGCAGGTGAGGGAATTTCACATCACAATTCACATTTGTGATTTGATTTACGAAATGAAGAATTAGGTTTCTGACGTTCGCCTGAATAAACCCTTAGTTTTCTAAGTTATAAAGTCTCCTCAATATGTAAAAAGTCTTACCTTTAATGGTGCGGCAATGAATAGCAGCATAAATTTGATTCAAAATGAATAATATTTCCCTTTATTTACCTTAGTTCTTTCATAAATAATGGACGATTCCCTAGCAACATCGGTTGCTACAGCGCAATATTAGTAGATTTACGATTGGTGGGGAAACTGTTGACCTCCGGAAATGACATGTGACCTAATAACCTTTTGACCTGAGTTCAAAGTGTGGCCTGATACCACGTGTAGAGGGCGTTAAGCGCATCTATCCGGGAATATCGGCTGAGCTTGTCGCGTGTTACTGTTATTGGCTGGTTCATGTTGTCAGAGGTAGACGCGGTGATGCAAGATCTGTAAAATAAGCATGGATCGTGGTAATAACAAGTTTGTGTCACCATTTATTGGTCGACCAAACGCTGAAAGTATGGCAGCAGCTCCGTCAAATAACTTTCAGAGGAGTTTAAAAGGCATAATCGCAGGTTTGTATCAATTATTATAATTTATTTCAGTTTCGTCGGTCTGACATGTCAACAAAAACACATGTATGTAGCCTGGCTAGTGGCGGTAGTATAGACTACATTTTAAAACGTCATTCATCCAGTCAATTGCGATTGGTTATGGATCATGGCCCAAACAATAATTATTGATGAATTGTTTGGATTTTAAAAAAAATATGATTTTAAGAGAGTTTTATTTGTTCCTCATAATTATTATCGCTTGAAATTAAAACAGTAGAATACTGATATCTTTCAACAATTAGGCCTACACTGCTACACATCCTCCCAATTTTTTTCAGATGGATTCAGTTGTCAATTAAAAATTAAAATTAATTAAATCCCCAAAAAGTCTTGTAAATATTATTTGGTGACACATATTGTGTGAAATATCTGGCCACTTACATACTGTCTCGGACAGTGGCGCTATGGCCTACTCTCGTATCAAATTCCAACTCCAGAGGGATCTTTTATGTGCACGCCCATGGGACCTCAGTTGTTTTTTTTTTATCCCATCTGAACGACTCAGCTGTCCTTGTTTAGGCCCTCTGTCTTGCACCACTGACAAGGGGAAACCACACCCGAAAATCCTGATGAACTTTCTCCAGTATCGGACCTCTTAACTTCTTAAATGAGACGTGGTGTCAGCTGTTCTAGAATGAGTAGGCATAATCTGTCTGATCATGTGGGTTGAATTACATGGACATCTATAGAAAAGGTACATTATGTAACATTTAGATAGAGAGCTGGTCGTTCTTGCTTTAAGTATAATGGTTTTAAAATACATACCTGTAATGAAAAAGGAATGTATTGAAAATGTCAGTTAAATTACTTTATTTTGAAAAAAAAAAAAATGAAATGGGGTTTAATGTCTTACTGTTCTGCTCCTAAACTGGGCTAATGAAGATGGGACTTTATTTTGAGCAAAGTTATAAGTGTTTGACGTTTTCACAATATGCATGTAGGCCTATTTAAATAGTCTTGATTGTCAAATACCATTGCTACGATAATAAACAAAGTATTATCTATTTTAACGTTATGTCTAAATGGAGGAGGTGCTCTAATCCCTTCAATATCTTGGCAGTCTAGTATTGAAGAGTCGAAGAGAGTTTATTATGGATCGACTTGCCATATGAATAAATGTTTAAATAAATTTCTATAACATTTTAAGCCAGAGAAAAAAACCTGCAATAGGCAGTTTTACTTTCTTGCACAATGCATCTTTAAACCTTGAATTAACTGTTTGATGGGCAGCGGTATTGCATAATAGCTGAGTACCATACATTTAGCATAGACTAGAGAATCTTTACTCTGCATATTATATATATTGCTGTAAATTGTAATGATGAATGCTGTTCAGGCTGCAATACTTTGCTGAGTATTACTACTATACATCTAAACTCAATACCTATTATAGGCTTACTCAATAATATATAAATGTTAGGGTTTATGCCATTTATTGCTTAAATGTACATAATAGTGCATAAATGTGCAGTATGTAATTGTAACTGCAAAATGCATATTGCTTTTATTACTCAGTCATCTTGCCATATTTTATGAATATTATCAAAAACATACTAAAATGTGTACTTTTATGGGTGGCCTACTATGGCCATGTAACATTCAGATGTCCAAAGTTCAAATCTAATATGTACATGTATAGACAACTAGACTAAAATATGATAAAGTTCAAAGATCATGTGTATGTGACATCAAAAATTTACATAAAAGACATGTTGGTACAGAACTTGCAAACCTATTTGCTGTTTGGGGTTCAGCAAATATCATGTTGAATTTATTTCTGGTATTTTTTTATTCTGATTTGGGGAGAGGCTCATAAACCAACAACTGAATCTATTTAATATATACATAATTATACCTTTATTGTGAGATGTTGGAACTGATGTAAAGCTTAATCAACAGTTTGAAAAAGTTGAGCCTTTTCATTATGAATCTATTACACAAAAGGTGTGCACATGGATTAAACATGATCAACTGTGACTAATTTGAAAAACTAAAACAATGTTAGATTCCAGAAGTATATTGGTTACACCAATATTTTTGCTTTTTAGAACTACACATGTACAAGTAATGAAAATGTATACTGTAACATTTAGAGAAATGTTCCATGTTAACCTGTTAAAAGACCATTAATTTGGTTATCTTCAATGGCCTATTGATTTATCATCTACATATAACTATTTGAAACCATCTCAATCAGTTTAACAAATTATTTCTGAGATATGATTTCCCTGGAGGATTGCTATTAACAGAATATGTCTCGAATCATGTCAGAACAGAGTACATGGCATGATTTAAAAATCAAAATCTTTTAGTGACAAAAATGAATAATACTCTGTACATGTGGCTCCGGGATCATAAAGAAAAAATGCATCACATACATGCTAATTAGACTGAAAGTTCATCCAGATTTTCCGGCATGGTTCCCCCCTGTGTGGTCCCATGTACATATTGACATGCATGAAAAACATCAAATTTCCTCTCTAATCCACTACATAGAGAATGAACTAGTAAGGTTTTGTGGGTTGTCATTGTGAATATTCCATCTGGCATATTCTTAAGAACTTTCATCACATTATATTCAATAGTAAGTGCAGGGGAACTGCATCACATATATACTATTCAAAAAAAGTAGGGGATATTTGATTTTGGGGGCATAATACTAAAATATGCAAATGACTACGAAAAAAGTCACTATAGAACCTAACAGAAGAAACATTTCCAGTTACATGTGACGCCCAAACGCACCAATGGCTACCGCATGGAATGCAGGTGATGCTTGGGATCATCATGGGGGTCCAACCCAAGATTTGCACGACTCTGACTTTGAATGTTACAGTCATTGTGGCATTGAATTCCAGGGTGGAAACATCAGTTTAATTGTTTTAGTGACCAGAAAACAAATTTTGATATGCGTCGGCTTACCCAAAATGAAAAGTTACGTGCCCTTGGCATGCTACAGATCGGCACAACACAGGCGGTTGTGGCGCGGACGATGAATGTTTCTCAGTCTGTCATAAGCAGGCTATGGTCCAGATACCGTGATACACAATCTGTACAGGACAGACCACGCTCAGGTCGACCAAGGGCGACAACTCAAGCCCAGGATCGATTTATCCGTACCTTGGCCTTAAGAAATCGTGTCATCACAGCAAATCAGATCAGCGCTCGTCTTCAAACAGACACTGGTGTGAGAGTGAGTGGCCAGACGATTCGGAATCGACTGCATAGGGGTCACCTTCGCGCCCGACGTCCTCGCGTGATCCCTTGTTTGAGAGATCATCACATTCAGGCAAGACGTCGTTGGTGTAGGGATCGTCAACACTGGGATAATCGACGCTGGAGCAATGTGATGTTTTCAGATGAGTCAAGGTTCACTGTTGACTTTTTGGACAGACGTAGGAGGGTGTGGCGTCGTCGAAACGAGCGCTTCCAAGACGTTAACGTCATCAGACATGATCGATTTGGGGGTGGTTCTGTTATGGTGTGGGGAGGCATCACTGTTGCTGGAAGAACGGCTTTACATGTTGTTGCAGGGCGTGTTACAGGCCAGTACTACCGGGACAACATCTTGGCAGTCCATGTTGTGCCGTTCGCACGACGTCATGGCCGCCGTTTCATCTTCCAGGATGACAACGCAAGATGTCACAGGGCCAGGATCGTTACAGGTTACCTCCAACAACAGAACATCACCACATTACCTTGGCCAGCACTGAGTCCCGACCTCTCCCCCATCGAGCATGTCTGGGACATGCTTGGACAGAGGTTACGTCAACGTCAACAACGTCCTGCCAATGTCCAAGAACTTGCTACTGCGTTGCAACAGGAATGGGACAATCTGGACCAAAATGACCTTAGACGTCTCATTAGGAGTATGCCACGTCGGATCAATGCTTGTTTGGCAAACAGAGGAGGATTTACCCGTTACTGACTTGGTTGTGATGCTGTGGTAACTTTGCTGTTTGACCCCGGGTATCATTTTACCCTTATAATGGTCAGTCTGTGCCTTACTTAGTCTAACGATCATTTGGAATAAATCGATGAATGTGAACTTCATTTCATTTTGTCATTTGTTTCTTCGTCAGTTTCATTAGGTGACTTTAATAACACTTAAAAATCAAATATCCCCTACTTTTTTTGAATAGTATAATTTACATAAAAACAAATACATGGACAAGACATCATACTCAGAAACCACAAATAAACAATTCAAAAAAAGTGTGCTGTACAGTCTGGGCCTGTAGACTTCACTCAAATTTGAAAACAATCAGGAATACAACCCAAAGAAATCAATGTAAGCATACTGTAGTAAAATTCAACTATTAAACATACATTATGGAAGAGCTAAATCTGATTATTGCAAGTCTTTATTTACACAACAAGCACAAAATCAACTCTGTAGACCCACGGATGGCTTGGATTCAGCTTGGATTTAAACAGGATTTCGTTGACTGATTTAATTTTAAATGGCGTCGTGAGCGGAGATTAACCGTTACGTTTACGTCATACTGCCAGATCGAGGCTAAATGATAGAGTGTACGAAGCGAGGCCGCTGTTGAGTGATGCCTTAACAAATGACATCTAAACTAAACACAGATAATGACAAATTATACAATTCCTGGAGACCGTGAGATGACTATTACAGACGGACAGGTCTTCTGTCTTGATAATATCAATAAAAATATTTTTATTTCACCAATAGGCACGACGCCACTGGTGTATACCAATAGATTTATCATAATTGTATTATAATATTATGTCCTATATTCAATTGATTTAATGCATGCCCAAAATACAAGTAAGAATGAAAATTTACCCTCTCACTCATTTTGTCCAATTGTTATAAAAAGGTAAAACACAAATTCGGATATGATGACCGCAGACAAAAGACAGCAGAGATTATGTAGGTGGAGTTAACGCCTGTCAATCAAACGATCGGCCATACTAAGAATTGGTGAAGATGC